CGGGCAGTCGTTCTTTGTATCGCGTCTCCTGTAACTATATAAGAAAATGTTGGTATTAGTCCTTACCTAATTTGAATAAAATTGGATGAAAAGAGAAACATTGAAACGTGTTCAATTGAAATTCAAGAATCTGTCTCCACAATTAATATTTTTTTGTGATTTAACCAATCCTTTTTACCTTTTGTATTTGAAGCCCAAAAGAGCTATTATAACAACAATTACAAGTAGGGATACTACGACTCCTATGGCCACATCACTAGAAGAAGTACTCTTGGATTCTTCCAGCTTTTTCATTAATTCTAAAAAATAATCAAACAAAGAAACCAAAAAAAAGAAATACTAAAGGAAGAAAAAGCAACAACAACATCCACAGCATCAGCACCAGTAACAACAAAAATACCCACCAACCCAAAAACAACAACAACAACAACAACAACAACAACAACAAACACAGAAAGCAAAACAAAGCAAAACGATATACCCATTCGGCATTTTAATCATTATTACCTTTAGCTGCATGTTTCAAGTTCTACTTAAGTGTATTATCTTAAATTTGAATACGGTTCCCATACTACAAAGTACGTTATATTTTCCTAGTAAGAGAAAGTTACCTGCACTGAGTTCGATTGTTGCGATATGGACTGGGTCACTCACGTAGACTTTCTGAAGCACAACGAAGAAAAAAAATATAAGAAAATTAATCGCAAATGGAGGGATAAAGAAATGAAAGAAGGATATAGTTGATATATCATATTGTTTCTTATATAGCATTCCCATGCCTTTCCTCCAACCAAAAAGCCATGCACCATTTCCCTGAAAAGGTCATCTTGATCTTTTTATACTAAAAAATGCCGCGCCAAGATGCTAAAGATGATAGCCATAAATTCAAAATGCCATCCGCTTACTCCTTTATATCTTGTGATTGCTCTCTCAGCTATGGTGTAAACCTGACCTTTACCCAAAGCCACATTTTTGTATGTTCCATACATTTGATTGTCACCGATGAAAAACATTCTTGTAGTATTTATCTGGAATGGTGTAAGCTCGGCTGTGACGTACATTACTTTGTCATTTTCTTTAGCCTTTTYGTAATTGCTAAGGTTTTCTGGTATTTCGGTCATGGATTTATTTCTGCCGCTGATCACAATCACCTGGTACGAGCTGCAAGACCAAAACAACAGCATGGAAGATCAATTATAGTAATTTACGATTCTTAAAAAAATGTTGTAGGCAAGATAAAATAATCTTATAGACTATCATGGTGCCTAATGTCTAACTATTAATGATTCATAAATTTAAATTGTGTACCTAATTGGTCCATTGTGGGGCTTGAATGTCCATAATGTGACATTAAAACTGTCTTTAARATTCATAGGAGCTMTAAATTGTGGTGCACGAGGTTCTGYGGATCGAAAATGAAGCAACTTTAATCAATTAATATCGAGTTATGAAGTTAGGATCATATAAAACACAAATATGACCTAGTACATACTGTCCACTTTTGTTTCCTCTGTTACTGTCAAACTCCTGTTGCTTTCACCACAAACTGTCAACGCTATTACCCAAAATTTATAGTATGTCCCTGGCTGCAAGTCACCAATCTTAATTGTTGTTTGGTTACCATCTTGGATTTTAGTTTTAATTGGGGAACTGTAGACAGGCCAGTATGACTTTGAACCTTTGAAATTAATCTTGAAAGAACACGAGCTTTTTAGGGGAATGAAATCAACTGTGATAATCATCGAAACAGCAGCAAAAGCTACATTATATTACTGAACAATTAGAACATATTATTATTTTAAATTTATTTATGCTACGTTTTTACTGCTCAACCACTAATGATGACCTAACTTTATCATGAATGGGTTTTTATGTGAAGGGTCTTAAAATGACGGGTTATTACTTCACAAATATTAAAAAATATATAAACATCCTTAAATTGTAAATTTGTGCTGTCTATATCATTCAGTATACCAAATATGTTTACGCTATTGTGCATAGTTGTGCAGTTCTCTTTACTTTGTACGTTTGTTGTGCTGTCATATCATTCTAGCAAGTATGATTACAAAAAGTCTAAAATATTTCGAAAATAAGTAATCTGAAAAAGAAATTCGTAATACAATTGATAAGCCGCGTATTTCAAATCAATAATACATCAAAACAATCAAAGCCAGTGGAAAATGTTAACTCTTATATTGCAGATAAGCGTGTATATCGTTCATAATTTTTCGATAAAGGATAATGTAACCTTTTCAAATTGCTTTTTTTCGTAAGTGTTCCAACGACTTAATTTCATTATGTTTTGCAAATGTTGGCCATACCTTGTAGCTTTTAACCYTTGTTATCATGGCTTTTGGCTTCCTCCATGACAAGGTAATAAATGCTTTACCTATTCCACGTGACTCTAAATTGTGAGGTGCACCTGGTTCTAAAAGAAATATAGCCCATAGCCMGTGTGTAAAGGAAAAACTCAATCTTTGAAACACATTATGCAAGTTGATATTGTGTAATACTGAAAATCTATCCAAATAAAATGTCGATATTTTAATACATGCATCAGTACTTTCATAGAAAAATGTGTCAGGCATTTTGAAAAGTGAGAACCGAATCAATTTTAGGAGCCATAGAACACATTTAGTAGATGCTAAGTCAACTCATCTATCTTTATATCGCATTATATTAACTTGACATTAGCTGAGAACCTTTTAATTTCTTTTTAAGTAGTTACAATTAGTTGTTCGAATCCCACTTTTCAAGATGGCGGAAGCTTTGTTATCCAAAAGTACTGATGCATGTATAGTACTTACTTGATGTTGTAATATTGTGAGTAGCATTTGGACCCAATCCCGCAACCGTTGCAGCTGCTACACGAACTTCATACTGCGCACAACGTCTTAGATTGTATAAAACATATTGGTTTCCCTGTGCTGTTCTAGTGAAGGAGTCTGTAACTGCCATTCTCTTAGCTCGTCCTATGTGTCTTAAATTCCAAGAAATTTTGTACTTTGTTATGATGCCATTGGCCTCGTTCCTGCGTAACGGTTTCCAGGCGATTATGAAGGTCGTTTCGTTTTTCTTTGTCACTTTTATACCTTGTGGCGCTACATGTGGAGCTAAAATGAGAATATATTACCATAAACTGATAATTGACCAGTAATTATCACTTTTAGTTTCCGAATGTTGTAAACACGGTACCACGATATAATGAGAAAAACGTCAAAATTGGCGAATCGTCCTAACTCATGTTCTTACGTACCGTAGGCAGGGATCCAAAGGCTATTGATAGTGGTATAAGGTCCTTCTTTGATCGTAGTCGCGCTCATCTTAAACCAAAACCTTGCTTGACCAAGTACATCCAGTGTATATACCAACGACGATATATCAGTTATATTTACATGATTGGATGTATCGTTATCATAGCGATACACAAGTGTGTAACTTGTGATGATGCCATTATCATGTGATGGTTTTTCCCACGTGACTTGCACACGTGGTATACGAAACTTGTCATTGGGTTGGATAAGCTTCGCTTTGTCATTAAGGGGTACAGAGGGAGCTAAAATTGCATAAATTAGTATTTTTAGCTTCATTAACCGCGGAATGTCTATATTTTGAACAGTTACATCAATTTTTCCTACTGTCCCCTCCCCAACAGATATGATTTTGAAGTTTGGGATAGCTTACCGTCTTGAAGTGTCCTTCTGTTTATTGCGGTACTTGGTTTACTGTCTTTGATAGTATATGCAACAACGCTGATTATATACGTTGTATACTTCTGAAGATCTTTTATCACCATCGAATTGAAATGAGCACCAGTATTGGCCATTTGTGCAGCTCGGGCACCATGTCTCCTGTATAAGACTTTGTAGCCTCTCAGAATTCCATTCCTGCAAGTGGTATTTGGCGGTGGGTCCCATGTCACTCGGATACTTTTAGAAGACAGGGCATTGGCTGATTTCAACTTAGGAGGACAATCGGGGGCTAGAATCGACAAAGATGTTTTATTTTTTATTATTTTAGTTTTTATTGTAATAGAAAAGTCAAACAAAACCTATAGTAGTAAATGAATAAATTAAGGGATATTATGGATTAGTCACTCCACACTTTGGGCACTCTAACAAGATAATATCCTATTCGCTGAAATTAATGTATAGTTGTACGTGATCAGGAATAGTKCATCGTCAGGGTGTAGCGAGGACCTAGGAGCTATGGAAGGATGCGGGTGGCACTAACCGAAAATAAAACATTACTCATAATGTATAATAGACAGAATTTCACGGTGGCTTCAAAAACCAATGAAGTTCTCTTTCAGTCATTACTTCCCCGTGAATACTAGAGAAGCTTAAATTTTTCAGTAAAAAATGGATGTCTMAAAATATTTTTCCTCAGTTTACAGACTCTTCCAAGCTTAAATTTATTTTTCTCTTTTATGTTGGTTTTAATATGCATTGTTCGCTACGCTACTGTCTATCGTAGCTAAATTAAATTGGGGTAATGAGACCTATAAGAAGCTATGTGCTACCAACATACCATCTTCAAGTGTCCTCCTGCTTATTGCGTTACTTGGTTTACTGTTCTTTATAGTATAAGCGACTACTGAGAATATATATGTTGTATACTTCTGAAGATCTCTTATCACCGTTGAATTGAAATAAGCACCAATATTGGCCATTTTTGCATTACGGACACCATATCTCCTATAAAAGACTTTGTAGCCTCTCAGAACTCCATTCCTGCAACTGGTACTTGGCAGTGGGTCCCATGTCACTCGGATACTTGTAGAAGACAGGGCCTTGACTGATTTCAGTTTTGGACGACAATCGGGGGCTAGAAGAACCAAATATAAAATCAAATCAAAAAAGATATTTTGATGGAAGATCTTTGAGCTGCGGATATCGTTTGTTGAAAAAATAGAAAGTTTGACGACAAAGTCATTTATGTATAAACTTAGTTAAAGAATTAGGTTTTTAATTGCATTGAGACGTAAGAACAATGTTACACGAGTACACAAGTTAGATATAAGTGTTGATTTTCAATATTTGTTTATGAGTTTTTTTAAAAATGAATGAAATGCTAGAAAACCAGCTTTTCGTTGGAAAATGGGATCCTAACTTTTGTGTACGTACGTATTTTCAAAAAATGGTGCTATTGGAAAACAGCTATTTAAAACTTCGGAAGTTGTCTATAATATAGTAAAGATCTCTTATTGAAATAATTGATGTTTTCAGTAATTATCGTATCCAGAATGCTCTCTCGGTTTTTCATTTTTCATTTTTTTTTGTACTAAAATCCCTAAGAATTTCCGTTCCTGGAACTGGAGGGAACTGGGATTTTGATATATTGAATGCAAGAGGTGCTGTATCCTCTAGTCTTTGAGACAGAGTTCTGGTCACATCAGGTAAGTCGATATCCAAATTCCCTGTGTATTCGTGGGTATGCTATCCGTGACTTGCGCGTGAGTACCTATGTAGTGCCCTGATCCGAAAGGAAGACAAGTGAAATCGAACCTATTGTCTATTTATTGAAATCAAAATCATTTTCAACGACACATTTTCTCTGCCTGTGGCTCAGTCCAGTTAGACCGTTTTCTAGAATTGGAGGTCACCCGCCATCGGGACAGTTACATGTATAAAGTTTCAAAAATAGACTTCTCATTAAGRCGTTGAAGTTTTGGTTTCGATTACACAAGAGAGTTCAGCTTGAAAAATGGGTTAAAGTTTGGTCCGATCCAAACGCTGATTTCTAGGCTTATCAGAAACTTTATAATCGATGACGAAATGGATTATAAGGCAACACATTCCTKTCAGGATGGCTATGTTTAACTGCATTCAAAATGTATCTGCATTGGCATGAGTTGCGTGCTTTGCTTTTTATCACCCACCATTTCCCTTGTTTTCCTGGACAAGGTAAGGTTCTCAACCTAATCAGTGATTGGCTGAGTCAGCATGGCTCATTTTTTTCGCGTTGCACAGATTTTTCTGAAAATGTTCGATTTTTACTTATATTGAATGTCAACACCTCGTAATATCTAACTTGTATAAGGTAGAGAAATTTACACTAATTAAAAAGGATTTTTTTACTAAACATACCATCTTGTAATGTTGTCTTTTTTATTGCATTACTTGGTTTGCTGTCCTTRACAGTATATGCAACTACCGAGAATGTGTACGTTGTAAACTTCTGAAGATTTCTTATCTCCTTTGAATGGACATGGGCACCAATATTGGCCATTTGTGCACTACGGAGGCCATATCTCTTATAAAAGACTTTGTAGCCTCTCAGAACTCCATTCCTGCAATTGGTATTTGGCAGTTGGTGCCATTTCACCCGGACGCTTGTCGAAGACAGGACCTTGACTGATTTAAGTTTTGGACGACAATCAGGAGCTAAAATGAAAAAAAAAATAATGTTGCAATATTCACGAAGACGTTTTATTGTTTATGGGTTGGTAATTAAAAAGTCAAACAAAACATCAACAATAGTAAATACTGAATATCTTAGTTCTTTAAGGAATAAGACAGTTCAACGCGTTGGACATTTTTATCAGAACAATAGGGTATTCGTTGAAATGAGCTGTGAACAAGGATAGTGTATAGTACAAGATGGTATTATACTATTGACTTAGYTAAATGAAAATAGGGTAATGTGACCTATAAGATTAAACGTCCTATCAACATACCATCTTGTTTTGTCCTTCTTCTTATTGTGTTACTTGGCTCACCGTCTTTCACAGTATAAGCGACTACTGAGAATATGTATGTTGTATACTTCTGAAGACCTGTTATCATCTTTAAATGGACATCAGCACCAATATCGACCATTTGTGCATTACGGACACCACGTCTTCTGTATAAGACTTTGTAGCCCCTCAGAACTCCATTCCTGCAATTGTTATTTGGCAGTGGGTCCCATACCGCACGGATACTTGTGGAAGACAGGACCATGACTGATTGAAGTTTTGGAGAGCAATCAGGCGCTAGGAAAAGAAAATACAGGAATAATTTATATGCATTTAACACATAATTGTGTCATGAGTCTGACTAGTGAATGTGGAGCTGCCTTAAAAACGTGAGCTAGGGAAAAATGGAACACGAAAAATAGCMTCCTCTCGAAAAAAGTATTCAGTTTTTCTCTCTTTGGGCAATCTGTGGAAAGGCACCGGACTAATATCGACAGTGAAGGTGGGACAAAATTGCTCAAGCTTGCCACCAGTGCCCTTTTTCCCTCTGTACCCTTTCCTTATCAACATTCGTTAGAGTTTTTGTTCAACAACAAAGGAAACTTGTGAAGGGAAATACCCATAAAAGTGTACGCAAAATGAAATCCAGAATAGATTCAGCTCTTAAAGAAATTAACACTCAGACATTTTATGTTAGAGTCACTCAGCAGTTATTATAGGGATAGAAACTTAAAACAACACGTCTAGCTATAGTTGCTACTGCAAAATGAAAATACTGCGTTGCAAAGTGCAAGCTTATATACAATAGATATCAAATGCAAAATGAGCGTTCACCGGTCGTTGGAACACGTTGAGTTGCATCTGCCGGGGTAATATCATCGTTATGGTCTCTGAAAAGGATTTTTTAAAGTTTTTTTTTAAATTTTTTAAAGGAAAATCTCTACTTAAGGCAGCCTGTAAAAAGATTCAAAAGTCCTGTCATTCAAACTTGCCAAGGGATTACAAAGCCTTATGTATTCACGTATCAAGGCGAAAAAGTCTTCTCTACTCCGCAGAAACCTGGACTTGGACGCAAAAAGCTCAAACAGAACAGAACATATATCAACCTTCTTTGCAATGTAAAATATTCTAATGCTATCAAGGAACTCAGATGTCAAAATCGGTAAAGTAATCATGCAATGAGAGACTGCACTGTGTGGAACGCTATTGTTATTGACAGCCTTTGATGACGAAGGATGATGATGATTTATTTATGATTTATTAGAGTTTCAATACTATTTGTGCTTCACTGAAAGGCATGTCTCTGGAGTGGTGTCAGAATGTTAGTTTAGCAACCCATGATTTGTTTAGAAACTGCATTGAATATTTATTTTAAGAAATCTATTTGTGATAAGAAACATCTATCTTAATTTATTCAACTACTTCTATTTACCATCCTCATGTGTTCTTTCAGATACAATGTTGCTTTCCGGACCATAATATCTTGAATTCCAAATTGACACAGTTATATTGTATGTCGTCCACTTCTTCAAGCTGTTCAGTACAGTTCTTCTGATGTTTGGAACTTGTTTTGTGTTTGTGTTGCCTAGGGCATCGGTGTATGTAATTCTAAAACCAGCCATAGGTCCGTTGACTTTGGCCGCACGCAGCTAGAAAATATTGTGATTAATTTGGAGAGAAGTTTTGTTTTCGAAAGAACAGAAAGAAACTCGTCGGCAAGACGGATAAACCATGTATTATTCAACAAACGAACATACAATTATTCAAAGGAAAGCGAGAGGCAAGAGAAAGTTAAGCAAGAGACAAACAAAAAATGATGCATGATGGCAAACATGATACCTATATGCTAACATACCTCCCATGTTACTTCAATGGTTTTTGATGATGTTCCACTTGCAGATACGCTTGGTTTTACTTCTGGCTCTAAAAGATATGGTGAATACTTACTGTAAAACATACGCTAAATAAGCCCACGATTTTGGTAGTAAGCTCAAGCTTTTTATCTGAATTCATGCACGAAGAGGCATTCAAATGAAATAACCGGAAGGAAACCGTATGTTATTGCAAATATTCTGTGAAATGAACTGTCATAAAATAAACCTTACTTGCTATCAGTGTAGCTGCTGTTTTGACGTCGCTCCACAATCCCTCACCAGCCACACTAGTTGCTTTCATTTGAAGTGTGTAGTTAGTGTATGGTTTAAGTCCAGTAAATGTATGTTGCGTCTTGTTAGATCTCATTTGTGCTTCTTTGCCATCCAATTTGATTGTGTACCCAATAATGATACCCACGTCGTCTAATTGTACAGCAGGACTCCAGTTTATCGTTAATGATCTGTTCCCCGAAGTAACAGAAAAGAACTGTTKATCTGGAACATCTAGAAATGACGTTATAACTTAATGTAATATTCGCTTGTAAGTATGTAACAGATAAAGCGATTATCTTGCGATGTTAAACCATGTGCTTTCTAATGTGATAACTATTCTGCTGAACTTCAGTTCAAAAGTATCCACAGGAGTTGACTTGTGTGCTGCTCCTTAATGACGATGAATATTTTATGACTTTTGTGATATTTTAGATGAGAAAGATCATAGTTGTCACAATTTACACTAACAATAACTCTCTCGGTCAAATGTATGGCCAAAGTCATAGCAACAACGACTATAAATCTAAGAGGTTGTGTTGCTCTACGCCCCCAGTCGTGCATTGCTGTTTTTTGCAAGCACCGTCAAGCAAAATCAAATTTGTAATTTTAGACTCAAACTACGAACTACTTAGAACACTTTTGTCTTAAAAATGGTGCCTGATGACACCGAAACTTAGAGCTCACTTGTTGTAATAAATTTTGTAGTTAAAGTTACTAACGTTACTAACATATATAAGTTTTTCTTACTTAGGTGGACAGTCAGTTGAGCCGTTGCTTCAGCTGGAGCAACGCTCCGTGCATCCACTGGGAGAACAGCTCTACAGGTGTAGTTTATGTTGCAGACAACAGGCCTCAAGTTGGAATCTTTTCTACTGCATTTGTATTTAGATATAATGTTCTGGGCGGAGATAAATTCCACCTTGAGAGAATTATTTGTTGCTCCTGGGATTTTTGTTGAACCATTACGAAACCATTGAATAGTTGGCGATGTTTCGCCGATAATTGTGCACTTCACTGTTTGATAACTTCCTTTGGTGCTTGGTAATGTGATGTTATTGGTACTGATCGCAGCTTTATATATTTTTACTACAATAAATATTATATCAGCCATTTACTCTTTCATGTAACGCTAAAAATTCAAAGTTAGTCAAGAAAACTGTGACAAATCAAAATTAACTAGATTCAGTTCAACAATTTATCTCACACATTTATCTTATCCTATTCTTCTTTTGATCTTATCCTTGCAATAACAACCATTAGTATAATTTCATAAGTGAATATCATAATTCTAGCGCGCTGATTGGTCGAATTTGACGCTTCAATGAGCGATGTTCACCTATAGGTGAATATTGGATTTTTTCGCAAAATGGCGTCGTCCGTGAGTCGTTGGATTAAACAATTGGATTAAAAAAATTGATTATCAATGAATATTTACCTCGCGGCTCGCGGAATCGCCGCTCGGTAAATATTCATTGATAATCACTTCGCCTTCGGCGAATAATTGTTAATTATCTAATGATAATTGCATTAGATAATTATGCAATAGGCCATACCAAAGTCACATCCATACAGGTCAAGACGCATGCAATTTCCGCCTTTGTTTTTCTGGGGAATTATTCTAACGTAACGCGCTGCTATTGGTCGACGCAGCCAATTAACTATGACGTCATGTTTGTTGGTGTTTCCAGTGAAGACCTGACATCAAATAAAAAAAAGTGCAAGATAAAGTTGAGATTAGGCAATACGCTACTGCTGGGATGGGTTTACTTTTCTGGAGCTTTCGTCGGTCGCCGACATCATCAGGGACTTTTTTCTTGGAAAAAAAMCCTGGGATATCGTTATTGTTTTTATGACTTCAAATTATTACCTTTGCAATATCTTGTTCTGTATAATTAAGCCATAAGCCACGATTTATAGAGTAAATAAGATTGTATGATGTCACCYACTTGTCCTTCGATGRGTATCCCTGTGTTGCTATTCCTGTGACAGTCTTCACTCGACCCAGGTCAACCTGTATGTATTCGGTGTTCGAAGATGTTGCACTGCACCATGCAGATTTGCCATACAGACGACCTCGCGATGCACCATGGGAACTGTCTGTTGAGGACGATGACGTCATCTGAGGGTCTGAGATTCCTCTGTTCTCGACACCAGGGACGTCCCTGTCGACACCAAGTGGGTTGGTACATACTATTTGCAAATAATTAAATCTTTGGCTAGAATCTCATATTCAACCCTAAAGCAAAGGGTTTTCTGATGTTTAGTTTGAAACTGTACCTTCTGGAGTTCCTTTAAAATCAACCCTTAAAGCTCT